GTGGAGCATATTATGCGACTTTCATTTTACAGACAGTAATCATGACTTTTAGTTTTAGTCTGAGTTTCATTGTTTAGAATAAAATAGAAATTATATGAAATAACATAAAATTATTTATGTTGCTACACAGGAAAGGAAAAGCAGATTAGATGATGAAAAATTTTTCTGGTTTCAATTAGCAAAATTGTGATAGGGACAAGTTTAATGAAGAATAAAGAATTTGTTTTCAAAGACAATTTGACATTTTCTTGACATTTTCTTTGGGTGTAACAATCTTCATTTAATGTGTAGCATGTTTTTCAGACTTACATTCATTTACTCTGAACTGAACTATAGAAACTACTATATCCAAAGTATGAGAGATTAGTTTTAATGTTATTTTATTAATCAGATCCCTCACTTTTTATCGATACTGCACTTTCATGTTAGTTCACCAAATATTGACTACCTTCATGCACTTTGAACAATAAAAGTGAATAAAATTAATAATTATTTTCTGTTCACTATAACAACATAGAAGTGTATTCATGTATATCATGAATATCAGTAGTAGATTTATTTCTAAGTGCTTCATAATAATAAGAACAAAAGAAGTAAAATTGACATAAAGGGTACAGAATGTCACAAATCCAGACAACTTGGGAGCAGACAGATGCCAGAAGAACAGATTTTCCAAACCAGTGAAGCTGAGAAGGAAAAAATGGAAAAAAATCATATCCACACTATAGTGTATTACTGATACAATATACATTGACCTAATTTATTTTCTGTTTCTTTTTTTTTGAGGTTTTTCTTTCATCTCAAACTAAGGAATTTGTATTGACCATATGTTACTTTGCTCTAATTTTTAAAAAAGATAAACAGAATTTCTTTCTCTAGAAAGTTATCTTTGAAATGTGTAAAATACAACTAAGATTTGTATAAGCAAAATAAATTAATCAAATTAATTGGGAGGGGGTGATAAAAACAAAAATTTTCTTCTGAAATTGTAAATAATTTCTATAGAATTATTTTCATCCTGAAAAAGTTTTATTAAAATCCAACAAACAGTTAATTTTTGGCTGATTTTTAAAATTGAAATGCTTTTCAACTAAAACTTTTCTAATGCAATTTATTTTTTGTTTATGAGCAAACAACTTTTCACATTACCACTTTTCATATCCAGTTTTATACACAAATAATGTTTATATAAAAATTTTCTTCTGTATTTCTTCTTATTAATGGCACTTTTAGTTTTTTTCCACTCTGTCATCAATTTTCCATTAAATGTTTTTGCACATACATAGAAACTAATGACTCTCATTGACTGAAGCCAACCGAATTTGTAAACAATTATAGAAAAGAAAAATATTATTTTAATGCAAGCTCTTGCCTGTTTAAATGAAGCCACTGAGAAAGGGGGTGCTGAAAAGTTCTTGGCCTGATCTACTTCTTCAAAAGGTACAGAGAAGCTATATTAAGGTGGTAGAAAAGTGATTGAAGTCAAAATGCCAGGTCAGGACTAATAATATTACAGATTCTTCTTTGTATTTTATCAAAAATCTCTAAATATATAGCAGAAACACCATACAAGATGTGGTACCAATATTCAATTCAATCTGTATGACAGACTTATAAATGTGCAAGATATTATCATTAATAATTTAGCTGTTGCCCTAGAGAAGTGAAAGCCATATTACCATATATGAAAGAAGACCCGCAATGTTAGATGCTATACCAATTCAGAGTTCATTAGAGCCTCTAGTACTTTGCCAAAAAGAGATAGAAGGTTAATAGGCCAATGGAAGGCTCAGCTAGTTCACCTGAGTTTTTAAAGAATGAAACTAGAGAAGAGGATTTCCAACAAGCAGGAAATAAAAAAGCATATTAGATAGAAAAAGTTTTGCCAGAAAATAAAATCTTTTGCACAAGTACCAAGAGCACATCTGATTGGCAATAGGGTGATTCAGTTTAGTTAATATGTGACTCTAAACACAATTATTTGTGTATGTATATATATATATATATATATATATATATATATCCCAGTAAAAAAAATAAAACTAATTATATATTATACTAAATTTAACAGAACCAACTTAATCATATGTAATAACTCTTCTCCCCTAAATCAATCAGTTAAGTGCCACACATGATACATGCTTGGATGATCATGTATCTTTCAATACATGACTGACGAGGCAGAAATTTTTCCCGCAGTAGGTTGCCATTTCTTTCTGCAGTAGACTGGTTGCCAACTAAGGTTAAAGAACACTGTCTGTCCTACTATTTAACCCATAACTAGTGTTTTGGAAATGACCAACATTGTATATCAGTTTAAATGTCATTTGGGAGATTGTATCTCCTACAAAAAAGTAAGTACATATTGGCTTGATGACAACATTATCACGTTTGTTTTTGTATTCTTTCTTGATGAGTTTGCTGTGTTCTCTTATATGGTTGAATGGTTATGAGATCTGAGTTTGAATCTCACTATCGGCAATTTCTCAAAGAGATGATTTATTGATAATATCAATAAGGGAGGTAATCCCAGTATGCAGCAGTTGTTATATATGATAAAAATATTGTTTTAGTATATGGTATATTTATTGGTAAAAGTGCTCAATACCAAAGATGAGGTCAACACTGAGTTGAGACAGTCTGTTTCATGCTTGAATGCAATCTTCAGATTTGAACAATATTCAGACCTGAAGTTTGAATGAATCTGGATATTCTTCTCTGACCTCTTTCATCAACAAGGGATTTCTGCCTTCAGAACTGTTTACAGGATTTTTTTTCTTTTTCTAATCATTCTCTGTAAACTCAAGAGATGGTGGTGCATAAAAATCCTAGTAGATCAGCAATTTTTTAAATACTCAAACCTACCAGTCTGGTATCAAAGACCTTGTTGCATTTAAAGTCACTTAAATCAACTTTCTTTTCCATCCTATCATATGAAACAAAATTAAACAGGTCATCATAAACATGTTTAAATGCCTATATTCATTAAATTGCTACCACATCATTGGCTGATTAAAAATTTGCATAAAAGTGCATTTGTTCATAATTAAGTGGCCAATCTGGCAAAATTATTTGAGGTTTCTCTCTATTTAAATAATGAATTGTATTTAAAACTTGAAAAATATTTTATATTTATGTGGTACTCATCATATGACAGTGTTTTAATGTTATGAATGTATATTTTCCATTGTGAGTAATATCAGGTTTTGTCATCTATGGTCATCCATAATTCAGCAGTTTCATGTGATGCAAGTAAATTTAAGGGAAATTTCATTATATGTAGGTAAGGAAAGCTGATTCAATACCCACTTGACCATAGAACTAAACTGACAGGTAACAAACACCAGTTGTCAATAAATGTATCTCTTTTACTATATTTTTAAGTAAAAAAAAAGTAATATTTTTCCCAAATCCTGTTTAGTAATCATTAAATAAACAATTTTTAAAAATTTTCATTCAATCTTTTCCATAGATGCAACACTGCAAGGCTATCACTATTTCCATGACAATTGTTCAGACATGCTTCATTCTTTGGTGCCAACAGTGCAGACATTTATAGCTAATCCATACACAGAAATGGATTAGATAGATGTTTTTCTTTAATCTACTTTTAAAGCCTGAAAAATAATATTTTTTATTGAAAATTGAGCTGATTTTTTCACATGAAGATCTGGAAATGAATTCTCTAATGGGCCTTTGACCTGACAATCATGTGTTAAAATAAAAATTATAAGCAGTGGCTACCCTTTAGGCATATGTAAAAAAAAAAATTTGAGCATGTGTAATGCAAATTTCAAGAGACTAGTCATCTTTTAAGGACAGCACCCTAAATGAGGTAGGACATAAATCTTTGTGCTCTCGTAGGACACAACATGTATTGGCCTTACACCAGGGTTGTCCAACTTTCTTCCCTAATGGACCAAATTAGAAATTTATGTATATTCACTAGGTCACAAAAGTATTTTATATAAATATGCTTTTAAAAAGTTAAAAATGTGAATAACAAATTTTAATAATATATATATATATAATTACAAAAAATCCTGTATTATTGACAGTAAAAAAAGAAGAAATTATACATAGACAAAATAAAATAAATTCAATGTGATTTTTGACATTGCTTTCCTTTTATAATATTGTCAGTATCTGTTTTTATGATACTAATCTTTATTTGAAGAATGTTAGTTAAATGGGAATTACTCAACCTCTTTCTTTCAGCAGTTTTGATGTTTTTCATCCACAAAAAGAATTGTTCACAGCCTACAAATATAATAGTTTTCTAGATAAGTGAAATAATTTTTATTTTGATCTGGCTCTTTCCCCACACACCAGCTGGTGTGTCTCAACAAAGGCCTTTGACCCCTTCCTGTTTTAGTTCAATGGGGTGAGTGAACCTACTAGCACAATCTGAGAATAATTTTCTTGACATACGTTACTAAAGTAAATGAAAATATACCTAAAGATGCAGTGGGCTGCATGAAAATATTAAGTGGCACGTAGTGTGGCCTGTGCCCCATGGGTTTGGACATCCCAGGCCTAGACACTACACCCATTCATGCCTTCCTTCAGCAGCAGTCAACTACATTCATTTCTTCTTTTTACAAGAACTGTAGGAAATCCTGTTGTCCAGGATTTTTTATATTAAAAATTTGAATGTCCCTAATTCCAAACAATAATAAAATTTAAATTTAAGAAAACATGGTTATGCCTGTTAAATAAATGATTTATATTTACAAATATATGTACAATTGTACATAAATTCAAAAAAATAAAAAAAATTTAAAGCCAGAAAATATTTTTAGATTGTAAGAATTTTTATTTTAGATAATCATGGTTTAGTGGTACAAGTCTTACTAATTAACTAATAGTTGGGGGAGATGAAGTCATATCTTTTCCTAAGGGTGTAAGTGAATATAACAAACCCAATGGAAACTGGAACTCAGCTATACTGATTAATAATTCTGATCAAATTATTCATTAGCACCACATATACATCCAAGCTTACAGCACCTGGCATTCCCAAGAGGTCACCCATCTAAGTACTGACCAGGTTTGATGTTTCTTAACTTCAGTGATCATATATGAACTGCTATTTCACTATGATATTGTTGTAAGCCCATTGAGATTTTCTTGTTATAACTATGATTTACTAAATTTATAGGGAGTAATATTAATTTTATGCAATGATGTTATGCAAATAATGTGCAGATTTGGAGACATCTTTATGGTCTAAGCTGTCTTGAATTGTGAAATTGATTTATTACAAATGTGGACAAATCTATTTCTCCTTTACATAGTCTGACTTACTTGCCTATTAACATCAAGTTTTGTCAAGACAATTCCAGCAAACTTACAAAGAATTTCTTTGTCTATATTTTATTCTGCTTGGATTCAAATCACCACATTAAGATGGCAGCAGGAAATCCAAACTAGGTTTTAAAAAATGCCATTACATAGTGAACCACATTAACAATTTAGTTCAGCTTTTTTCTATACCTTTCATATTGGTGATCATGTCTGAATCTTTAGATCTCACTTGAACGATTTTAGTTTTCATTTCTAACAGAAAGACAACACACATGCAAATCTTTGCTACATTCATATCTAGTCTCCATTGTTTTTTGAACAAAACCAAACAGACATGAAAAATAAAATCACTCACAATAATATCTTGATTTCCATTTCTCTTTATGTAAAGGCACAGACATTTATGTATTTTTAGCTAAGATAACACTAAAAGAAAATAATATTAAAATAGACATTTTGGTTAAACATCTTAAGAAGGTTTTAATTAAATTCTATATTCCTTTAATACTTAAATAATATATATGATAATTTATATTTTGAATTACAAGTTTTCACCATTTTCTTTGAAGATACATGCTTTATTTTCTTACCATATCTTTCTTTTATTTATTTTATTTTCTATTATTTGTAATCATCCTATTTTAATATATATTTCTTATATACAAATATCATTGATTTGTTCATGGATATATATTTTAAAATTCTATCAACTATTACATTTTTGAAATTGACCAAATCATTTTAAGTAACAGGGTTGCCATGGTAATGATTTTTCCATAGATTTTTTCAGTTGTTTTGATAATGCATGTTGAGAGTGAAATGTCAACAAGGAAATAAAAAATTTAAACATCCAACTGGTTTTCACAAATTCCACATTACATACACTGTTTAGATATTTCGTATTAATCATCTATCACATATATGAATATACATTATTACCCATAAATAAGTACATTTACCAGATACATAAATGTACATTATTACTCATAAGTACATTTATTACATATAGGAATGTACATTATTGCCCATAAGTATACCCCCACAAACTTCTTTTATAAAAATTTAATTTTCTTCTCAACTAAACATACCAGGATTTTATTATTTATAGTGGTACATTATGCAGTCAAAATGGATATTATTAGACATTATTTATTACCAAAATCTATAGCATCGGAAATCTGTGAACAAACATGGAAATATGTAGCAATTGAAAAATAAGTGCACCTCTGCAAAAGACGTTATCTAAAATCAATATTTTGTGAAGCTGTTTTTATATTTTTTTTTACTCCTGCTTCTCATCTTTTGGCAACATTGACCTCACTAGATTTGCAGAACTAGTCAATAAAATTTTTTCCACTCTGACAGTATACAGTCTTCCAATTATATCTTTTTGGATGCTTGTAGTCATTCTACTTTTCCGCTTAATTACATTCCATAAGTGCTCAGTTGGCTTTAAATCTGGTGAGATGTTAGGCCAAAACTTTTGCTTCTTCAGAAACTCTGTGATCTTTTCAATGTTTTGAATCATTTTGGAACATCATTCTTTTTCCTAACAATTTGTGAAGGCAATAAGTTTTCTTTCACTATTTTGACATAACCTCCAGTATTCATGATTCTGTCTGTTAAATGCAGATCATTGGTGCCACTAGATATTATAGAACACCAGACCATTGTGTTTCATTATTATGCTTAAGCTAAAATTTTTTTCTTCTACACATCTACCATGATGCTGCCAAAATCATTGAATGCCATTACATGATACTGTTCCAAAACTTTTAATTTTCTATCTTTTTCTTCTGAACAAATTTTAAATGTGTTTTAATTCAGTAGTGATTTCCATGTAATTGTTAATGAGCCAATCTTGTTCAAGAAATATTTGATTGTTGTAATGATAACATTCAGAGCACACACTTTTTAACTTCATTAGCCACACCTTCAGTTGATTTCAATCAGTCTCCTGATATAATGAAGCTGACCTTAAGGTCATCTTGCATGACTGACCTTATTGCTTCTGTACACCTTTGACATTTCTGTAGTGATACAGAAGGCACTTATTTCTCTTTGGTGGAAGATAAGTCCCATGGTCACATGACAACCACTTTGTGACGTCACTTGATACAGTGACCCAAAGTTGGAGTCAATTTTTAGTTTGTGAATAGCAATCAAACAGTTGCTTTCTTCCAGCCTGGGCCTTAGGCCCAGGCTAAGATTAAATCTACCTCCCCAGTTTACAAGCACATGATGCTGTTTCCCTTTGGGACATAGATGAATCTGGCCTGTTTAATTCTAGAGTCTTCTCCAGGTCAAGAATATCTTCAAATTATATGTAAGACCCTTCCTTCTGTTCCTCTGTACACTTTGCTTTGCTATGTAGACATAAGTGATATAAAGTTCTCCATGTGGGACATATGCATATATATGTATATATATGGTTTTGTGTATGTTGTAGAATATAAAAGTCTCTCTGAGAACAAAGCATATTTGTCATTCTTTTTCCTTTCAGCCATTCCATCCTATCCTGTCCCTGAGTTATGGTGTGGTTGTATCATGGCTATAACAATGCCCATTAACAGGAGAAATGTAATTGGGAGAATATTTCTTTCCTTTGCACTTGTTACATTTCCATATTTTTTCAAGTTTGCACAATTCTGACAATAGAATTTTTGCTTAATATCAGTAGAATAGCTATTTTTTTGCTAGATATTGTTTGTCATCCTAATTTAATGTGAAAAAGAGGTAATAATCACCCCTGACCTTGCTCCAAGTGTAAAATGGTTGTGGAGCACTAGAAAACATATAATTCAGTTATATTTTCCATATAACTTGAATGAAACAAAGACTCTATTGCCAAACTCTTCCTATTCTCATTCTTACAATTAAATTGAATATATGTTTTTACATTTATAAAAATGTCTTTTTTCAACCATATTTAAAACAGAATTTCTGGGATGAGAAATTATCGTTATTATTATATATTGATTTCTTTGAATAAAACACACATTTGAAAAGGCTGTGTGTTTTATCCAAATAAATCAATCTGCAGTTGTACAACAGCTGAAACATATGTGACCATTTGATGGGAACATAAATTTAACTAAATCAGTGGATGATAATTTTGAAAACACACACACACACACACACACACACACATGATGACTGTCCACTTACTCTATAAGTATGGTCACCAAATATGCTGTGATGGTTGAAGTTGTTTCCCACCCAACCTCCAAAAATTTGATGGTACCTGCAAAATTGTTTATAGTCAGTCATAACTTGCAGTCTCTTAGCATCAGACAGCCTTGGTCAAATAATAAGAACTAATCAAGTTCCTGTGCCATACTCAATTTGGGTTGTCTAATGATAAGACAAAGACAGAGTCATTAATGTCTGAATCTTATATACAATGCCAGGCAAAAGTTTACAACACATTACAAAAAATGTTTCTTTAGGTATTTCTAACACAGATTAATGAAACTTTTACTGCTAATAATCAGGGCTTTATGTGCTCCACTATTTTTGGAGCTGCTCCCATACCCAAAATTGGGGCTGGCTTCCCTCATGCTCCCCATTTTTAAAAAGGAGCTGCTCCAGCTCCAACTCCATTAAAAAAAGAGCAGATCTTTTTTGGCACTCCATAGTTAAAATGTACCTTCTTTCATAAACGTTGAACATTTATCACTTTTAAAAAATCTTCCAATAATATATATTATTATATATATATTTGTGATATGTTGTTTGAGTAAAATTAGCAAATTTAAAGTTAAGTTAATGATAATCTGATTTGAACCCAACATTATTTACATTATCATAAAAAAGTAATATACAATCATTTCAAGTGAAAAATACACAAAAAAACTAATGCTTTAGAACACATCACAAAATATTATTTGTTTTCAACTAATTCCCAACTTAAATTCATTTTCTTGAAAATATTTTACAGCATCGAAAGTAACCTTTACAGTAGTTTGTTATACAAATAGGCATTTAAAAGATTTTGATAGATGCATTGTAAAACTTTAGTTAACTTAAAGTTTTGGGGTGAAAAGTTATTCTCATCAGTGTTCCAGTTGTCAAGGGAAACTTGTGAAGATACTACACTTTAAACAATAGGGAAACACAAATCTTCTGTTGTCAAGAGTTTTACAGCAATATATTGTATTGATTCGTATTATTTCTCTGGGGGTGTGGAACAATAATGGGTAGGAAAATTTGGTAACTATGAAATAAAAGTCAATTAAAAGATGATTTTAGGGCAGTTCTGGAGTGGGGATTTGGGGGCTAATCCATCCTCCTATATTTTTAAATAACTAAAAATTGTGGGGTCCTGAAAAAACCCTACAACAATAACAACTGTACTTGTAGAAAAGAGGCTTAGTCTTAAAAGTAAATTAAAATTTTATTTCAGGACAAAAAATATCATTTCAGACCAAGAATCAATTTTATTCAACATTTGGATGAATATCAAGGGAAATGGGTGAGAAAATACAATGGAAGTTATTACCCATAAAGATTTCATTTATTTTTTTTAATAACTTTTTGTTGTTGTTGTAGTAGTAGTAGTAGTAGTAACAGCAGCAGCAAAATTGTGTACAAAAGTAAATTGTCAGTAAATTAAAAAGAAAATATTGGTTTATTTATGAAAATTTGTTATAAAATCCCAAAAAGTTCAAACCTTCCTTCCCTCACACCAGTATCTACAAACAGTTTTTATACTCTCTTTCTCTCTCTCACACTCACATACATATCTAACAAAAAATGACATCAAAGACTTTCTACAGAGTGACTGACTCTT